CTGGACAATGTGCAATAAATGTCAAAATATTAAAATGTTAGAATTAAGATATTAGAATTAACAGTTTTAAAGGAAACAAGAATAATAACGCCCTGTTAAAAATTACTGAACAGAAGCAAAGTGAGGGCTTTCATGGCACCAACCAGCCCCACAGCTCCATGATCCTTTGTGCTCCCCCCATGAGGCTGGAGAACCATGGTTAAGTCCTTTTCGGAAAGCCAGGAAGGTGGGGATTTGCCTCACTTCTGGGGAGGGGGGAAATATTCCATAGGGCAGGGGCAATGGCACAGAAGGCTCTCTTCCTAGATCCAGTCAGTCAGAATTCTTCACCTCACAAGCTCTGCAACATACCTTCCTTGTCTAACTGGGCGGGATGGGCCTATGTAATGGGATGAACCCAATTCTGTAGGTAGCCTGGCCCTGTGCCATGTAGAGGTTTAAGGTCACAACCAACGCTTTGATTTTGACTCAGAAGCAAACTGGTACTCAATGCAGTTCCTGGAGCAGAGGTGTTTCACGTGTTCCCATATAGCTCATAGTACATTGTGTACCAGCTGAAGCTTCCAGATACTCCATGTAGCGCTTGTTGCAATAGTCCAAACAGGGCATGAGTGACTGAAGAGAGACTCCCTATCCAGGAAAGGGTTTAACTGGTGCACAACACGGAGTTGAGCAAAGACTCCCCTAGTCACAGCTGCCATCTGCTCCTTAAACAGAAGTCATGAATCCAAGAAGACCTCCAGCTTACACAGCGTATCTGGGGTAATGCAACTCCATTCAAAGATGATAAACTCCTAGATACAGAGGTCTCATCCAGTTACTTATCAGGGTTCATTTGAAGTCTATTGTTTCCCATCCAGCCCTCCATAGCCTCCAGGCACCACGAAAGAACCTCCACAGCATCTCTCACTTCACCTAGGACAGAGATATATAACTGTGCATCATCAGCATAATGGTGATAACTCATCCAGTGCAGCAGTGGGATTCACTTACCTTCCCTACCAGTTCGCAAATGTGAGGGCTTACCAGGCCCCATCAAACAAATTTTAGAGACCTATATCTACTTGGAAGATTTTACTTTTGGTTTTCTTTGCCAGTAGGGTGGTATTCTTTTGTATTCTACCAGTCTCTTTACGTGAGTTCTTTATCTTGACTTTTCATTACTTCATGTTTTCAGCACTTTTCAGATTCTCATCCTTTGCTCTGCCATTTTCCCCACCAGTTACGGCAGGCCAGTATTCTAATCATGCAAGAAATTCCCACAGTTAAAAGAACGTTGTGTGAAAGAGATCTATTGCTCATTAGCTGAACACTTACCTCTATAACTAAAACTAATGTTTTAAAAAAGCAGAATTAAGAGCGCAGTGCTGTTTGAGAGAAAATCCAGGATTGCTTAATGCTATTGCTTAAGCTGGTTTTGCTAGACCTCACCCACACATAATGTGTGTCAGTACAAGAGCTGGCAAGCAAAAATGCAGACAATGCAGTTGATTTCTCTATTTGTAAGGAATCAGTTAGATGATATATCTAGCACATCTTTCTAGCATGTTTTTACAAAACTCTAGTGAGAAAACATAATTCAATCATCCATTTCAATCACTGCTGTTTTTAAACATTTATCCTACTATTGTTAACTGGGTTAACAAGTTATAACAAAGAACCAGAGTCATCACAGGAGTATTGCAAAAGCATTACTTTGATCAGTAATGTTAATCCTACCCAGAGGGCAGGAAAAATGTGCCTTCTGTGCCTTCTCCAATCATCTTCTGAAACTGATTGAAAATGAATGTGTCAATGTTAATTTTTAATTTGGTAAATATTGATAAATGTAACCCATAAAACAAAAGTTCTTTTCAGGGTCTTCCAAAATTATTAAAAGGGGGAATGGGTCCTGACTCTTGAGAGATAAAAAGTTTAAGAAACACTGCTTTAAGCTATTGCTTTCATTATAAGGTTTTTATTGCAGTGCTTGGGTAATCAGAATCAGTAAACATCCTGTACAGCTTACTGAGCAGACACTGAAATTCAATTCCCTAATTACAATGTTTTTTACACTGAGCAATCCTTCCTGTTCTCTAAAGGAGAAAGGAAAGAAAAAACAAAATAAAATCCTTGCCCTTATAATTTTTACATCCTATTGGCCATCGGATACCAAATTGGAAACAGAACTATATGCATCAAGTCACAATATCTTGCTGGGACTTCTAAAAAGAAAGAGTGGCATTGCAAATCTACATCTACTGTAGAGGAAGCAGGAAAGGATTTTACCATAATACTTTAAGGTAAAACTTTAAGATGTGTAGACCAGAGGTGGGTTCCTACTAGCTTGGACAGGTTTAGCTGAACTGGTAGTGGTTTGGCGGCCTGGGTCACTAGAACCGGCAGCAACCCAGGCCTGCCATGCCCCCGAACCGGTTCTCCTTCAGCAGCACCATCTTGATTTTTGGTTCTGCGCATGCGCAGAAAAAAATTCATTGCACAAATTTACTTTTTTTCATTTTTTAACATTTTGCACATGTGCAGACCTATTTATGTGCAAATGCTCACAGGCGCATAGCAAAAAAATTTGCGCATCGAACCGGCAGTAATGCCAGCAGCAACCCACCCCTGGTGTGGACTTTAACCCAGCATGGCTAGATGGGGAATTCAGGAAATTGAAATCTATATGTCTTAAAGTTGTCAAGGCTAAAAAACACTGTCTTAATCCCTGAGTTGTCTGAAGGGATTTTGACAATCCATTCTTGCTTTTAGCATTCATTTCACAAATATAAAGTATGTTTGTTTTTTTAAAAAATCCCACTCTCTGTAATAAAATGTTATTTGTCACAAAACCTGCCAGTTCAAGTGGCAAAATAGTGGATGCGTGAGCTTGTTTTTTCCAAGATGCAGCAACATAAAAGCATGTTCAGCTGGGATTTCATCACCTGAGATAGTCCCACTGTGGAACTATTTCATAGGTTCATTAAATTTGATGCAACAAGGAAATAAGGCTTTCAGCCTTGCCCTCTTCTATGCAAATTGCCTAATAATTTTACTTCTCCCAAATGAGGTTACAACATCATCTAATTACAGATTTCTTGTAGCAACAATTAAAATGTGGTGTGTACTGCCAGTTTTCCTAGCACAATGTAACACATGTTTTTTTCATGGTGATAGTGCAGGGTCAAAAATATGCTGAGATAAAAAAAACATACAGTCTTGGTCCCAAACCAGAGGTCAGTAGTACTAGTGGGTTCCGGATCCCGTCACAACTGGTACGCTGTGACAGGGCCAGGCGTCCTCGTTGGGCACACACTCTGTGCTTGCATACACACGCCACAGCCTAGCAATACTCAGCTGCTTGGTGGAGGTTGCACAGGCACGCACGCTGTGCACACAGACTCAATTGGCCCGTTTGCATCAAAAAGCGGTAAGGAACACGGGTGGGCAGTCAGGCCAAATGCGCCATCGTTCCGGTAGCTGCTGTTTCCAGCTACCACTGGTACACCTGTACCAGGCCGTACCTCCCAGAACCCACCACTGGTCAGCAGAATAATATCTGCCAACTCTTATATTGATATATTTCAAGAAGAGTTCTCACATTGTTTCTTGATCATATACTAGACCTGTAAGAGGTTGAGGAAAATGGAAAATCTACCATATTTACTTTTTTTTTTATCCAAGAGGCTGAAATATACACCTTATTACATAACACAAATGCATTATACAACATGATAGACATACTATGTTCAAGGCACATCACTGGAATGAATCAGGAAGCGCTAACCTGAGATCTAATGGCACTTTGGGAATGATAAGAGTTGGGTGTCTTAATACACCTTTAGTGTGTGGGGAAAGCTCTCCCATTTCTATTTCTGGAGTAAAAATCATGAACTATTCTGTTTAGATGTTGGAACGGAGATGTCACTTGGGTTTTTGCCCAATCCTCACTGTCTTGAGCCAACCCTAAAATTATCTTGCAGAAAAAGCAGATGATGACAATGATAATGACTAAGTACAGCTCAGTGATAGGCCAAAAAATGTAATGGGACAATGTTTATTTAGATCCTCCCATAACATACATTTTAAAAATAAGTAGCAGCACATGTAGAGTTTTAATTAACTAAAGAATTTAATATACATTCATTTTTGACCTATTCAAAACATAATGTTTTAGGAAACTCAGTGATGTAAGGCATTCAGAGTTCATGATAATTTTACTCTAATTCCTCCTTCCTCTTTGTTGTACTTTCCTGAACTATACCAGTAGGTACCTCTTTTTATCCAAACACCCTTTTCTTTAACTAATTGCATTATAAGATTTCGTTAGACACTGCAGTGTCCTTGGTGCTGTCTGAGCTTGGTCATTTTCTTGCAGATATTTTATTACCAAACTAGTTAATATCAACAGTTCAATTCTAGATACTGTACATGGTTGATGGTTAAGTGAGCTGATGATGGGAAGAGTGGCTCAAATTCAAAAAGAAAAGATAATAATATATATTTCCTGAAAAATCAAATTCTTATTAAAAATATTCTGACTTGAATGTGTATGGGCACAATAGGAAAAAAGAGTAAAGGACATAGATTTTATATATATTTTACTGTGGGTCATTTGTATAGTGCTTTAACATATCAGTATATCAAAAATTAGATTGACCTGAATCACTGTTTGCTGTATTTGGGTTTCACCCTGCAACCTTCCTGGTGTTTTAGATTCCCTCACAGTCTTTAGGTCACCATTTAGGAATTGTGATAGCATTATTTGCCCTGTTAAGTTAAAAAAAAAGTTTTGCTTTTGCCTGAAGAAGGCTATTATGAAAGATGGAAGACAAGAAATAGTAAAACTAAGACTGAAGATGTTGGAGCCACATGTCTAAAAATGTTGTGTACTTATGCAGAATGTATATTTATGCAAATTAATGTGTACCTTTTGGATCTTGAGATGTAGCCCTAATGCATTCTTAACTGAAAAATTAACTGAATTCAGCCACATAAATTAATTGATGAACACGATATTATAAACTGGAATAAGTATTTATTTTACTTGATTGTTGTATTGAATCAGAAACATTTCAGTAAGTTTGTGTTGCCAAAACAGAGTGGCAATAATAAGTTTGGAGACAAGTTGGAAAGTACTCTGAAACGTCACTATGGATATACCGGTATTTTATTGTTTCAAGTTCATGAGAGTATAGCTCTGCAGATTCTCCAGCCATCAATTCCCCCAAGATATCTAACTCTTTTCATCTTATTTTATTTTTTTGTTTTGTTTTGCAGAGAGGCCATTAAAAAAAAAAAAAACCTAAGAGATTGGGGAGGGTGAATTGAGTGAACTTTTCCTTTTATAAATAATTTCCAGTGCAAACATGGAAATGGACTCTCGGGCAAGCTATTTGTGTGATAGCTTACACTCAATGAAGAATTCCAACATTTTTAATGCACATTCTTTGGTCTGAACAAGCTAGTTTCACAATGTCAGAAATGGATTTTGGGTATGAGACATTCACAAAGCATTTTATAAGAACCAGATGATTATATTTATGGTATACAACTATAACTATATTCTTTTGCAAAGTTTTAATGCACTTGTAAACATTGTTAACAAATTGAATTAAATTCACTGCTCACTGAATAAACATTTCTATTCCATTTGTATTTGACTACTTAAACACCAGTTACAAACTGGTGTGATCAAGTTGTTTAATTTAAACTATGGTTTTCATCAATGTGAAAAGATCCTATCAAGAAATGTGATAGGAAATTGAAATCAGTATTAAAAATATCCTTGATAAATTAATGCTAAATCTACAATGCAGATAAACTAGTTCTTCCAGATGAGTGTTTTATTATGTAATTGCCATCTTATTCACATCATTTTATATGAGATCCAGATATTTTCCTCTTTTATTTGTAAACTTCCCACTTTTCCCCACCAGTTCTAAAGTTTATTTTCAACTTAAGGAAAAGAAATTGAAGAATTGCATGCTGCTTTTTTAAATAGTTCTGCGCCTGAAAACACTTTAAATAAATGTTCTGAGTTCTCTACATCACTGAAATCAATTTCAATTTTGTTCTTTGTAAGAATAGGGTCCATTTTGTAAAGAGGTTGTGTTACTATGGAATTGTAATAAAAGAGTGATAGTCCAAAATAGAGTGCTCTGTTCTAATAGCTACGATTGTTTGTCCACAAACCATCACAAGTTCTTAAATTATTTCACTATTATAAAAGAATCTCGAAGTTTTGTCATAAAATTTCCAGCACGGAAAAGGACAGATTAATCAGCTTTCCTTCATGATGTCAGTGACAGCTCGTTAAACTTCTTTGAGCCTTTGAAATCTTGAAAGATTCAATTATGAATGCCCACTTTTTATGTTATTAATTTAAGATTTATAGGAGTAAACAAATTCCAGATTTGGAGTCAACTTCAATTACTCTGTTGGGATTATTCAGGTCTTCAAAGAGTCCCGTTTCAATAACTTCTTCTTGCCAGGGTATTGGGATAGCACCAGTAGAAAATTTCTTAAAGAATTCAATGTCTTTGTCATCAAACTCAATTCCTTTAGCTTCAGAAAAATCAGCAATGTCTGCAACATCTTTGGCATAGACGACTGATGGATCTGGCACAAAGGGAGGATCAATAAGACCTGCCTCCAGCCTGTGAAAATTTATTGACTTGAAGTATTCATGTTTCCTGGGATCATCATTATCATTCCTGTAACAAAACAAGAAAAAAGTGGTTCAAATAGGAGGAAACTAGTCCTATAAAGCAGATTTATATTCAAGCATGTACTAATCATACAAGTGGGTTTACAACTGGGATTGGAAAGAAATAATCAAAGATTTGTTAATTAATTAAGTTTGAGGCCTTCTGTTACTTTCCAAATTAGAAGCTTTAATAGCTCTTTGGGCAACAATACTTGATAAATACATTTTTACACACACACACACACACACACTGATAGATCTCCTTTAGCCAAGAATGTCTAGTGTTCATTAGTTAGCTTTTTTGTCTGTGGATAACTTGAGTAGCATTAAAGAAAAAAATATAATAGCCTTCTCTCAACTGGTGATTTGTGGACTATAATTTTTTAACAGTTTATTTATACATTTTCACATTACATACATAAGTGCTTAGTAAACAGTGTATTGTCTGGATCAATTTATTTGTATACAATAATACTTTTTCTAGTCCTAATTTCTACCTCTACTGCCCAACCATTTATAAAACAAGTCCCATGTATCTTCTTTTTCTTTTCTTTTTAATGTCAGTATGTTCATTTCTGCGAAATCTAAAAAAAAATATCATCCTCTTTAGGTGTTTCCTCATTTTTCCAGTACTGTGCAAATACAATTCTTGCTGCTGTCAAGACATGTAATATTAAGTATAAGTATCATATTTTTATCTTTATCATACTTTTCAGGTGTTATGCCTAGCAAAAATATTTCTTGTTTATAATCTTGTGGACTATAATTTTTATCTTCCTCAGCCACTGTGGTATTAGTGGGTATAATCTCAAAGGAATTAAATTATATTTTAAAAAGTAAGTAATGTATAGGTAAGAAAGTTAAATCTGGCGTGATTGTTGACCGAGTGAAGAAACTGTGAGCTGCACTTGTTATCAATCTGTTTCTTGGTCCAATTCAAGGTGCTGTAATAAAGTCCTACAGGGGATCGGGGTGGGGGTGCAATTATTTGCCCCCCTGTGGTTTTTGCATAGCCGATAACCAAAAGGGTTTGAATGTGTCACGTCATTTTGTATGTCATTTTGTCATCCTATTTTATCTTTGCTTCTATTGGATAGCTCCCATTCTGATAGGGTTGTCCAAGACTTTGGACTGGGATGATAGAGCCTCTTTTAAGTTTTATTACTGGTAAAATTCAGTCATCTTGTTCTTTATCAGCTTTAAACTTATTTGTTTTTCTGGTTTTGTTTTGAATTGTTATATTTTATCTTTCTTTTTTTGTTATATTGTGAGAGATTGAGATTCATTTGGGGTTGGACAACACATGTTAAATAAATTCAATTAATTTAAAAGAAGCTCATTTGTTTACCTTGGATGGTGCAAATGTATCCTGAACGCTATTCAAAAATGTGCATATACATAAATTCCAAAATAAATAAAATGATGTAGAATTGACTCCAAACATTGCATTTTACTACTTGTGGAGAAAAAAAGTATTTTAAAACAGGCAGTAAACCTGTTTGCCACTGAATAGTATTAAAAGACATGATTTTCTGTGAACGTAATCATGTAAAATAAAAGAATATGTGTAAATATCTATGCATTCCTTCTTTTTGTAATGCTGATGTGATTAAAAACACAATCTCCAAAATTAGATTCAGTGCCCAGCTATAAAATCTTGAATTCCTATTTCATAACCCACAGGTACTCTAGTTCAGACAGCCAAGACTATTGACATTTTTTTATGAGTTATGTGCCAGCAGGCTGTGTTAGGGAATAATTCTTAAAGGAAACTCAAGGGCCATCACTTTCTCTAGAAACTGACATTTGAGCACCACCACTAGGCCTTTGTATGCATGTACAAGAGTCACCTAGCAACATGATAAAGGAGAATATAGCTAAACTATGTTTATTTGTTAACAATTGTTAGAGTTCTGATAGACCTCTACCAGAAACATATTTAAATAGTTTGAGAAGTCGAATCCCTGATTCACTCATGCCTACTAAGTTACAATTTATTTAGTTTGTTAAATAAGCTATATTTGGCTTGATCACCTACTGAACTAGCCCATAAATAAGCTTTAATGTTTAATTCATTTGCTAGATTAACGATCAGATTTATTTTATATTTTTATTTAATAAAAATGCAGATTGGTAAATATTTTGAAAAGAAATCCTTAAGCACTTTTTACCATTTTACTAGCACTATAACTATCTTTTTCATATTACTTCTAATTATTATGATCAACTATGAAAAAAACCATTGAATTTATATTTTCTAGAACACCAGCTTCTAGAAAATTATAATTTCTTTTAAAAAAATCTCAGGTACTTTCACATCAGGCCAAGATAACTCTGGGTGAACTTAACCCAGTTATTTAACTTCATCATGAATACATTGTATGTTTTCTCAAAAAACCCGAGTGGTTAGAAAATGAATGTACTAAAGTCTGTTCAGCTGTTCTCTGGCACAAATAAAATATATATTTTACTACAGTTCTGCAAAAGATAAAATAAAAAACAAACATTATTTACAAGGGAAGGGAAAGTGCAAAGGAACAAAGAAAAATGAAAAGAAATAAAGAATAACTTCCAACTTTCTTCAATACAGATGCAAAAACATTTCATTAGCAATCATTTCTGGAGATGTTTGGGAGGTGAATGTTGTGGGTCAGCAAGCACTGGATCTTTCTAATATGTTAATTAAATATATTAGATTTATGTGAATGGCTGTTGATTTTCAGATAAACTAAGTCATAGTATGTATAATTAGATTTTTTTAGCCCACTTAGCAATATTAATAGTTCAATATTTCTCAATATTAGCAAAAATATTTAGGGAATGTCTTCTGCAAAAGATTCACACAATCTTTTTCAAATGCTACCTCTTAGCATCTTCTTGGAACATAGCCTTCTCAATGCTTGCCCCAACAAAAATAATGCTTTTCTTTGGACAGTATATTGGGCCTAATATAGTCTGTCAGAAACTGACAAATACTTATTGATCGCATTTAGCCTTCCAGATAATGACTAAATAAGCTGCTGGAAACCATTGTTTAATTGGTCTCATTTGTTGTTTTAGCTGTCACCCTGCGTTTGTAAATTAATTTTGAAAAGTGGAATCCAATTCTTCATGGATTAACCTGTTAGTATCAGATTCCAGCTCCTATACATATGGTTTTCTTCATACACATGAGGAAAGGAAAGGAAAGATTTTTCAGCTTCTTTCTGATTGGTGATCTGTTTCTTTTTGTATGGCCCTGATGGAAAATCTAGTTCTACAAAACTTACATAATTGGACCTAAGAGATGAAATAGTTCACCTCTTATGACTCTTGGATTGTTGATGTTTGCTGTTAATCAGAACCTTTTTAGCGGGTCAAGTGTGCAAATTAAAGCTGCCTATAAGAAGCTTTAACTTATGCAATGCATACTTAAACAGATAACCCAAGGGCTCAATGACCTTACCAGAATCTTAAGGTAATCTTTATAAAGTTGTTCTTGAACAATATCTCTAGTTAGCAACCTTAGACAGGTTTTCTGCTATCTCCAATATACAATGAACCCTTATCACAGTATCTTACACACAGTGGCAATAAAAAGAAAATGACAGACAAGCATGCCATTGTTGAAGTTCGATAGATGCTGTATAACACTTGTGGCTATCAGATTGTTTCTGTACAAAATGGGGGAAAAAGTCTATACCCTATTCACTTTGGGTGTAAACTCATTGGAAGCCCACATCTCCTGTATGCAGGATTTAAGGTTCCCATAAAAACTATCTGTTTGGGACCCACATTTTATGAGAATAAGAATTCAAGCCAGAGGAAGCCAGCTTTTTCTTTTTTCTGTTATCTTCTGCATACCTCAAGAAATGTTTGGTATTGCTTGTTGATTTTTAATTGAGAGGTCTGTTTATTTTTTTAATTAGTGCATTCAATCACAGTTTTAGTGTATTTATTTTAATATTTTAATGTTTTCATCTGTATTTTGCTTGTTAGCCATGCTGGGTGTTATTTTTGGCAAAGAATAATAATATAAATTTAACAGATAAATAAATAGCCCAGTTCAAATTATTAATTATGCTGATTAAGAGATTTGTGCTTTTCAGTTAGTATTTTCAATCAGCATTTTAATTCCAGCATTTCCTTGGGTTTCATTATAGCTTGCACCAATTGCTCCAACATTGGCTTTGAAAGACAGTTTAATCCTTAGGGGCTAAGCAAAACCTCTTTGCCATGACATGGAAAGATCACAACTGGTAAAGAACGCTAAAGCAGCACATTTGGCAGTATCAACAGCAGCATGAAAAACATCTGCACAAATAATTATTGCAAGACAATTCCCCGATCCTTTAGAGGTTAATACAACATTAAATGAACTCTAGCAAAAGGTAAAGGATCTAAAACATGCAGGCATCAAAATGTATCTATGTCATTTTATTGAGTAATTGGAAATATTTTGCAAATGAAAATATAGGGCAGCATTAAAAACAGGTATTACAAAATTTATTCATTTTTTCTTTAGATTGATTATTTCTTATGTTTTTAAAGCTCCTTCATCAGAGATGGGGTTTGGCTGTCTTATTCATAACAATGCCCAATGTTTTCCTTGAACATTTTTAAAAAAATTAATATATTACCTATGTACTTTTCCAACTTTTAATTGTATTTATTTCTAGGACTTTTACACTGCTTTTTGTTCAGGACTTTTAAAATTTGACTATAGTTCACAACTGTTTCAGACACAATTTATTGTATATGGATTTCTTATTTCATTTAAAATTTTTATTTTCAAGTTTACATTTTAAGGGACTTTAAAAATTAGATTAAAATTAACTTTTGCCCTACCTAACATTGGCCAGTGAGCTGGGAGAGGTATCCTACACAGTGTAGAAGGCATAGATTTATGAAATGCTGGTACACCAAACATTAATTTTTTAGACACAAGAATGTAACCATAAATATATTATTATATCTCTGACTGAATAAACTTTTTATTTATATGAAAAATGTTGCCCTTCAAGTAGAATATATTTATTTAAATATTTATAAGCCATTTTATTTGGCATTTGAAGCAGTCTACCATCACTCTTAAAAGGTTCTATACTGTTCTATGAAAATCCCTCTTTTGGATTGTCTGAATTTTTGTGTAGTTTTACCAATATCAGAGCTTTATAAAAATCCAATAAAATATAGAGGATCTGAGTGAACATCTGACACCAAACATTGATACTTATTTCATTTATTTCATAACCAAAGCACCCAACATGCAATATGCATGCTTGAAAAGTATCACTGTCCCCCTTCTCACAATTCTTATCCATTATTCTTAAATTAGCACCACAAAAAAGCTCTTTTTAGTTTAACATTGCTTTGTAGTAGGGCAGACCTGCAGAATGAAAATGAGAATCAGAATCATGATTTATCTCCTGCTTTGAAGTAGCACCTTAGTACTGCTGTCACCACCAGCCTTCAAGGCAAGCCTAATCTGTTCTGCTACAGCTATATTTATTTATTTAAAAGATACATATGGTTGCCCTGGTACACAACTCTTGTGTGGCTAGCAACTATGATAAAAACGTAAACAATGCAAACAACACAAAAAAGAAGAAGAAAAAAGCAGAAGATGAAGTTCCATCAGATAAAGAGCACTCTTCCCAAATTCTGTTTTAAACTATTATTAAAATCACAATAAATTCTAAATTCTAAAGAAAAGAAATATTCTTAGGAACACAGACTAAAATATTTCTGAAAACAAAACACCTAATTTTGTAACTTGTTCAGAGTGGTAAAGGACACGGAACTTCATACAATGCAGAAAACAGAGAGCAAAATCTAATTCCTGGATATACTATATTTCTACAGAACAAATGCTCTTCTGCCTCTGTGTTCCTGGATTACTTCAGTTTCTTTGATATTCCAAATGATGGAATGATGGAAACTAGGCCTTTTCCAAATCTTATCTATATCCCACAGAGAGAGGGTTGGAGTCTCTGATTCATGTCTCGGTTGTGATGAAGTGAACTGTGAATCTGCAGTTTGGCATGCAGGCTATATAATCTCTTCAGGCTTATCCCTAGTAACCATGCTTAGCACAGCTACTGTGTTCATTTATAAAAAGAATACTTGAATTGAGATACATAAAATGCCAGCCACCTTTCTTTCCTAAGAATTCTTCCTCAAATCCCAATGTTCTGCTCAACTTTAAATAAAGTTTAAATTGCATATAATGACAGAATCCTTTGTAACTAGTGCACAAAGACCAACATCTTGTCTTCCCTGACTCTGTGATTTTAATAACAGATTTTGGTTCTGTGAAATTACTTAGCATTATATATCCAAAAGCAATATGCTTCTTTTCCAATATTCTTATTTTTCCCCAAGCCAACTTACTTGAATGTCATACCTGAGATTCCAGAATGTCATACCTGAGATTATGGTCATTCAATAATTTTCACCATAATGTGGTGGTTTTTTTTAATTTATCGTATTTACATACTGCCTTTTCAATTGGGAACTCAGGGCAGGCAGGCACTTGTGGGCAGTGGTGTATTAACCATTAAGTAGACTAAGCACGTGCTTAAGGCACCAGACCCAAGGGGGCATCACAAAGTTGAGTGAGAAAAAAAAACCAATGAAGATTTGTACCATATGTACAAAGGAGAGGGGCACCAAGATTTGTCATTGCTTAGGGCACCAGTGAGCCTTAATCTACCACTGCTTGTGGGGAATATTTTATCATATTTTATCACAAGAACCCTGCAAGAAATGGAACTAAGACTGAAAAGTTGACCCCAAATGATCCAATAAACTCTGTGGGTTCGATAGGTAACTGAACCTGGGCTTCTCCAGGTCCACATTCAACAAGAACCAAGCAACACTATTTTCTCAGATCCTCCTATGTGTTCTCTCTTCCCAAAAATTCAGTAAAATGCTATTTGCCAATACTTGATCTGCCAAAAAAAAAAAAAAAACAGAATGGCATAAAATGTGCTGCTGCCACTGTAGATCCCTATCCTGTAACACAGTTCCCCCCCCCCCCAAAAAAAAAAAACTTTTGGGCACTAGGGGCTGGTTCCATGGAGAGAGGTTTTTCCATGGACGTAAGAGGCATGGTATACTGTGCTGCTTGCATTCCATGGATGAAGCTTCGCTTGTTTCCATGGCCCGGTTTCTGGCATACTGTGGACCAGTGCTAGTCCACAGACCGGTGGTTGGGACCCCTGATGTAACAGGAATGACACAACCAAATGGTGCTGCTCTTTATTGTGCATGGTTTATGTTAAGAAAATGAACTAGTACATTTCTCTTGCTTCCCTCCCTCCTCAATAAGTATTTGCCAGTTGGAAAATATCCATCAATTATTCTCCTTAAATAGGCCTAGGGCAGGCAGGTTTTAACAGATGGTTTAGAGGTGCAGATTCAGTCAATTGTCAAAACTTACTTCACGTTTTGCAGAAATTTCTGCTAATCCACAGGCTGTCAAGAACTTGTACCAGATTTAAGATATGGAAACACCAATATGACAAGAGACACTCTTGGCATTTATGATTTTGCAATAAGTATTAAAATCTGGAATAAATCTGGAAGCAAATCTGAAGTGAATAAAATTATCTATAGCAGCTAAAATCCTGACTACAAAATTCTGCGTAACAGAAGCAGTGCAGGAACCTTCAAGGGCAGCTGTGGACAATGCCTTGCAGTAATCCAACCAGGGAGAAGGGGATTATTGTGGTTAGATTTTCTTTACACCCAGACAGATTTTAGCTCTTTAGCTTAAGCAGTCTTAGAAAATTCTACATTATTGACATTTGAACTTCAGTTCCTTAAAAAATTATGGCAGTACCACCCAATCAAAAGAGGAAAAAATGATACCTGCTTCCTAAACGACTTTCAGGAGTCTTTGCCAAGAAGAGTTTGCAGATTTCTTTTATTGGTTCATCAAAATTAGGGTGCTGGAACTGCACTTCGTCATTTAGGGTTCTTTTTTTAACTTCCTCTTTTTCAACTTTTTCTTTGAAATCCTTGAATGGTGTTCGACCAGCAATCATTTCATAAATACTGCACCCCATAGCAAACCAATCTACAGGATAACTGTAACTTTCCTCCTTTAAGATTTCAGGAGCCATGTATCCATTAGTTCCAGCCTGTGACAACATAAAATAGTTTTAATGAAGAGTATTCCTAATTAGTGATGCTTTTGAATGAGAAGCAACAATTCTTTGATTACTCCCGCAAAGCTTCATATTAGTCATGAAATAAAATATCTTGACTCAGGCATGTCATAGAATTTCTGACAAAGTAATCTCAAAAATATTATTACATATGATTGCTTAAAAAGTGGTGGATAACATTTGTAGCTTTGGGTACTGCACATGTATATAATTATCTCTCCCTCTCCCTCTCTCCCACCTTCTCCCTCTCCCTCTCCCTTACACACACGCAAACACACTCTTTCTCTCTGTCTTCCCCCCCGCCCCCACATAGGCCATTCGCCCGAGCTGAAAAAAATAAATGAGGTTTCTGTCTCTTACTAGTCTGCTTACAAAAAACATGTTTCTTGCAAAGGGAATCTAGCAGATTTCACCAAACCACTGGAAAGAACAGGGGAAGCCAAGTTCACTCCACTTCCCAGTGACCAAGAACAGAGTTGTGCAGAGAAACTTGGAGAAGTAAGCTTCTCCTATTTGGGTCACCCAGTGCTGATTTCTCATTGCAGGAAACCTAGTAATGTTAACCAAAGCTATTGGCAGGGAGTGGAAACTTCACCCACCTCTCTAAGACATTGGTGTTAGACTCAGAGATAAATGAGAGCCACTAAAACTTGCATAAGATTATCATGGGGACCAGCCCCTCACCTCCTATCCCACCTCCATGCAATATTCCCTCTAATTTCTGATAACCTATGATTGGACAAAACATTGTTTTGTGTAGCTTTTCCTGAACCAGGTACAACTTTGTGTGCCATAGTATAAGAATGAGTAAATTGTAAATACATACAATAATACATGTTCAAATATTTATATATATTTTACTTAAAATATCAAAACTAGGAAATATACACAGTATGGAACATACTATACATGCTTGAAAGTTGTGATTTTAAGTAATGTTGAACTCCTGGAAATTGCCCCTTTCACTTTTCTTGCCAGTCTTTTTCAGAAGTGACTTGGCAATTCTTTCTTCCCCAGGCTGAGAGAGAGGAATTGTTCCAACACCACCACCACCACCAAGCTGGCTTCACACCCAGATTGGGACTAGAAAACACCAACCCCTGGTTTCTAGTCTGATACTTTCAGCAAAATAACAAACTGGCCCCACACATGTTTGCCAAAAAATTATACATATAAATGTATTAATTGCTGATAACTGCAATCAATAATTCCAAGCTTTTAAAAATATTTTTCTTTTAATTTGATACTATAAAGAAAGAAAAATTTAGAAAAAAGTATCATACAAAAAGCATTTATTGTACATACTCATAAATAAACTGACAATTTAAGATGCTAAAAAACATTGAGTTTGGTTTATCCACAGATGGGATTTTACACAATTATATAGGATAGTTTTTTTGTTCTCCCTTTTAAAAGTACCTGTATAAACCCAATGGTCCCCAACCTTTCTGGTTTTATGGACAGGCAGCAACAGTGGTGGCAGTGGGGAGAGGGAAGATGGTTTTGTGATTGCAATCTAGTTCTTACCCACCGCTTGCACAGCCTGTTCACAATGGGCTTTGGACCGGTTCCAGTCTGCAGACTGGGATTTGAGGTCCCCTGGATAAACCCATCTGCAGATAAGCTGACCCTCAAATTTTTAACCAAAATGCCATTTAGAAATCTGCCATAAATAGATAATCCAATTGTGAAAATTAAAACATACAAAAACTTCAAGGGTCACCCTATCGATAAATGGTTTTATCCATGAGTACATACTGTAGGCTGCGCTCTCTCTTTATTTTTGCCCATTCTTTCCTTCTTCTCTGAATGTATTCTCAACCTTTTAAAACTTTAATTATTATTAATTTTAAAATTGAATATTTCCTAAAGTTAACAACAATCATGGACATATTGCAGCCTGGAACTCAATGAATATTAATTACTAAACTTTTTTTTAAAGGAAGAAGGACATGAATTCAACCTATTTTAGAGGAAGGAAGGGAATTCAACCTGTTTTGAAGGAAAGAGAGAAGTTAATTTGGTCTATTTTGTAGAAAGAAGCACTCTTTGTGCACTGGAGGCTCTTGGGTTGGGAATAGGTCGGTTCCCAATATAGGGAAGAGACAGAAGCTTGCAGCCTTGGCTCAATTGTAGCTGCTTAGGGTCCTTGAGGCTGCTGGAAGGCAGACTGAGTGGAATCACCCATCACGTGAAGCTGCTCTTGTTGTATGGCTTGTGCCATGGCAGGGCCAAGCAATTCTCATTGCTGCAGTTAGACTGAGGTGGCAACTTGTGCAGGACTCCTCACAAGTCACGTTTTGCTGACCAATGACTAAAGTTATTATTTAGTTATAAAATGCAGTTTTATCTATGTTTTATTATATTTTTATTTTATTTAGTTAAATGTTTGTGAAATATATTTTAATCCAGTTTACATTAAATAATGTATTTTAAACACACATTAAACTGAATATTAAGGTGGTTTGTGCCACATCTGAGAATGTTATGGGCTGTATGTGGTCCATGGCCTGCAGGTTTGGAGCTCTGCTCTAAGGGATTCCGATCTCTTATTTCTCATTGACATATTACATGATTTCATAGCACTCTGCTTTCCTTACAGAAAAGCAAGTTAATACAAGTAGTCATTGCTTAACAACCAATCACTTAGTGACTGTTTGAAGTTATGATGCACCCCACCCCCCATGTTACTTATGACTCGGTTTCAGAGTTCTGATGACTGCACAACTCCTGTGACCATATGACTGAATCTCAGGCACTTAGCAACCAGCTCATCTTGATGACCAGTTACAGCATTTCTGTGTTCACATGACTGTGTTCATTATGTTTTTTTGCCAGTGTCCAGCTCATAGGGATACACTGATTTGCTTACAACCACCAGGTTCACTTAATGACTCCTGCAAAAAGTCATAAAATTGGGTCCGGTCACATGGGTGCTCAACATATGACCATCTTGACTTATTTTTGATCACCATTACTATGTTAATCAAGGACTACCTATACTTGTATTTTTCTTGCCTTTTGTAATCAGCGATGGAAGCTCAATAACAATCTTAAAAGGAATAATTGTTAACGTAATTTATACCATGGGGAATTATTGATATGTTAAAAGACAACCTGAATAAAGTGTAAAAGTGTGATACATACAGAACAAACAAATGAAAATATTCAAAACAAAATTATGGAAAACTGAGGGCATCTTGCTACAAAATACTACTTGCATTTAGCAACTTTTTAACGTAATAAATATTCTTCAGCTAACTGTCAAGCTGCTTATAGAATCACACTAGCTAATTCCATTGCAGGAAAAACTGCCTAATCCATCACAACAGCAAGGTGTATTTTCCACATTTCTTTCATATTAAGAAGTGTGTCTACACACAATACTCATCTAAAAAGAGGAATAGTTCTTCCCCAAATACCTTATTGTTAAAATGGAAAGAGTGTTTATTAGGAGAAAATATAGTAAAGGAGCTGTTAAGTTTTAAATCCTATTTAAATATGTCATCCTTTTGAGTAAAGGATGTGTATGTGTACAATGTATATACTTAACCCCCAAATAAAATGCAATAATCTACCATTTCACTTCTAATCTTCTGCAGAGCTGCGTATCAATAACCTTGAAAGAGGAATGCAAGAGGGTTACATAAACATGAATTGAGCCCTGAAAGAGAGGACAGGGTGAAAAAAAAAACTCAGGATTATCCTGTGTTGATTCTCTTGTCAGGTTTTCAAGATTCTGGTTCTTGTGGTGTTTGTTTTCTGACCTTGCCTACCTCAAGGGCTGACATCAGCTTTGAAAGCCTCATTGTTCAGAAACCACCAACAGACTATTACAACTACTTGAAATCAGCGTAGCACACAAGCCAACTGAAGCCCTCCAAAAGATCCTAAGTAAATCAAAAGTTCCACTAGTCCTAGAAGAAAAATCAGGAGTCATCTACAACATACAGTGTAATAACTGCAACAGCCATAATGGAGGACAAACAGACAACAACTGGCAGAACGCAGCCATAAACACCAGCCAGCACTCAAAAGACATGATGAAAACTCTTTAATTTCAGAACACAAGAACAGACTTAACCATAGACTGTGATCATCCTAAACCAAGACAAGTCCAAAAAAGCTAGAGAATTTCTAGAGGTCTGGCATTCTGACAAATTAGCCACCAATAAACACATAAACATAAACACTATCGACATACTATGCAAAAGAGACAATCAACCAACCCAAAAGGGAACAAAAAGACTAAAATACTGCTCTACCAGCAATCAACACCTAGATGAGCATAGATTAACTCCAAGATTAACATCAGACCAACAACCAAGAAGTAAAGAATACCCCAATCAAGGGACTGTCAAACAAGCTAACAATAAATAGCCCAACAAAATAACATCCAAGACCACTCTCAGCAACACAGACAGGGCAAGCATCCAGAACGTAAACTGAGAGCAAACCCCACTCCTTACCAGCACTGATAATGTTACCTAGTTGGGGCAGTGAAATGTCTGAAAGAAAACAATCACACTCAGAGAATATGAAGGACCCATCATCACTATTCTTTATTCAGAGAGACATTGAACCCTGCTTTGCATTGGGGAGATGATATCAGATTCTCAGTACACCCTACTGTACACAGAACAACTCGCTGAAACATCATTATAGAAGAGCAAATGTATATACTGATAACAAATCTGAATAATGTTATGGTACAACTACAGCATTTCAGACAAGGCTTGCCCCAGGAGCAATATAAAACATGCAGCCCCACTGATATTCTTTCACTTTCATAGGAGTTTGCCATAGATACTTGAAGGAATCTAAGACAATTTTCTGACTTGATTTTAGTCTGTGTGAATTGTTTAAGACATATTGGCCAACAACATTCTGTACAGATGAAGTCAACATGTATTTTGATCTGAATGCTGAAAAGAGCCAAGGTGGCGCAGTGGTTAAATGCAGCACTGCAGGCT